CCCTGATCAATAACTAATATCAACAGATATAACGCTGATCAATAACTAATAAGGGTTATATAAGAGTTCTAAGTTCTATCAGAGTTCTATATAAGTACTATTAATTATATCATGATTCTATATAAGTTCTATCAGGGTTCTAATAAAGTTATATCAGGGTTATATTCGAGTTATATATAAGCTATATTAGGGTTCTATCAGAGTTATATATAATTTCTGTCAGGGTTCTATCAGAGTTCTAAATAAGTTATATATAAGTTCCATCAGTGTTCTATTAGGGTTCCATCAGAGTTATATATGAGTTATATTGGAGTTATATATAAGTTCTATCATAGTTCTATCAGAGTCCTATTAGAGTTCTATCAGTTATATTAGTGTTCTATATAACTTCCATCAGTGTTCTATTAATGTTATACAAGGGTTCTATATAAATTCTATCAGTTTTATTAGGGTTCCATCAGGGTTCTACCAGCATTCTATATAAGTTCTCTCAGGGTTCTATCAGACTTATATATGTTGTATTAGAGTTATATCAGAGTTCTATATAAGTTATATTCGAGTTCTATATAAGTTAAATCAGGGTTCCATCAGGGTTCTATATAAGTTATATCAGAGTTATATTAGAGTTCTACATAAGTTATATTAGAGTTCTATATAAGTTATATCAGGGTTCCATCAGGGTTCTATATCCTTTATATCAGAGTTGTATTAGGGTTCTATCAGAGTTCTATATAAGTTATATTAGAGTTCTATATAAGTTATATTAGAGTTCTATATAAGTTATATCAGAGTTATATTAGAGTTCTACATAAGTTCTATTAGAGTTATATCAGTTATATTAGAGTTCTATATAAGTTATATCAGAGTTGTATTAGGGTTCTACATAAGTTCTATCAGAGTTCTACATACCTTATATCAGAGTTCTATATAAGTTCTATCAGAGTTATATTAGAGTTCTACATAAGTTCTATTAGAGTTCTATCAGAGTTATATTAGAGTTCTATATAAGTTATATCTGGGTTCCATCAGAGTTCAATATAAATTATATTAGAGTTCTATCAGAGTTATATTAGAGTTCTATATACGTTATATTAGAGTTCTATCAGAGTTCTATATAAGTTATATCAGAGTTTTGATACATTTAATAGATTCTTAATACACTGTTGGCCAGAAGAAATGCGCGCGCACCTTAACGTCTCGCGTGTGTTTATCAGAGCGGTGTCGCGGTGGCTGATGGGACATGTCCGCCATGTTTTCAGAGCAGTCCCGAGCAACGGTTCTCAAGTCCCGTTAAACGTTCCTCCAGTGACCGGAGCAGCTGGTACGTCTGTATCGGTGGTTCACGGATTTAAAGAATGAGTAAACTCTCGTTCCGGGCTCGAGCGCTAGACGCCTCCAAACCTCTCCCAGTGTACCGGAACAGAGACGTACCGGAGCTCACGGACCTGTCCATTAACCGGGCCGTGTTACAGATGCCCACCGGGATGGAGAAGGAAGAGGAGCTGGTATGTTTAAAGAGTGTTAGTGTGGAGCTGTGGCGGGAGTCATGTTTACGTTCACTACGTTACTTACGTACAGTCTGCGCTATCAGCGTTCGTCAACGAGGCGTGAACGCGCTCTGTGGCTGTGACCTTTACGTTCTTACGTAGTAGTCATGGTAACGCATGGACGCAGTGGCTGACCTAGCTGCTAGCTTACCAGTGCTACTGTTAGCTTTAGTCCATGAGACACATGTACAGTTATCATGTATATATGTTTAGTGTGCCTCACCTGTGTGCCTCACCTGTGTGTTTCAGGAGCACCACCTGCAGAGGGCGATCTCAGCCCAGCAGGTGTTCAGGGAGAAGAAGGAGAACATGGTGATCCCTGTACCTGAAGCAGAGAGTAACACCACATACTACGACCGTCTGTACAAAGGAGAAGTCAAGGTCCCCAAACAGCTCCTCCACATACAGCGTGAGTAATACACAACAATATACTACCTGTGTAGTACCTGTGATAGTACCTGTGTGTAGTACTCATACTGCACCCCCATAATCGTTAAAGCACTTTTTAATAAAATATCCATTTCCTCCGGTTTGGATGATTTACGTTGTAGAGCCGATCCACTAGTAGACAGTAAGACTGGTCTTGTTGAGACTGCATCTGAATCAGGTCTAGATGAGTCTACATGTTAAGCCTCCATGTTGTGTTCAGGTCCATCAGTCTCATATTTGTGGTCCTGCAGCTTTGTGTCTGGATCTGGAGCAGCCGGACTACGACATGGACTCAGAGGACGAGACGCTCATCAACAGGCTCAACAGAAAGATGGAGATCAAACCTCTGCAGTTTGAGACCATGGTGGACCGACTGGAGAAGGCCACAACACACCAGGTAACACTGCACTGGGTCTCTCTGTCTCTCTCTCTCACACACACATCAAACACTCGTAGCTCTTCTGGTGGCTGAAGTCTCTGTTCTACTGGAGAGCATTTATGCTTTTGTTCCTTTACAGTTTATATGTGAACTTCACAATAGTTGTGCAGAACAAAATAAGCATCAATAAGAAAAGGAAAGTCCTCTGTTTTGTGTCCGTCTTCCTCAAAGCCTCAAACCGTGACTTCAGACGTCTCCGTAGGTTTGATACCTCCGCTGGACACGCTGCTCACTAATCGTTACAATAACAGCTGCTAGTAAAGACAACAAGGTCAACAACACCTGTAATCAGTTATGTTCAATTATCCTGGTAGTCGATCGGTAATCAAGGCTGTTTGAGAGCTTACAGTAAAGGGTCACGTGATCGGTGACCAATCAGAGGACACGTGAACCAATCAAGTAGTGAAAGCGGGCGTCTACGTCATCGTTTATAAACGTATGTGTTTACGAGCGTCCACACTAGTCGGAGGTTTAACTTATCTGTCCTCGGTGCTCTGAAACTCCGGTGTAGTGAAACACTCAGTGAGAACGAAGCAAAACATACGAGTTTAAAATGGAAACGCAGTCGTGTGGACGTGGCCTCTGTCAAGTCTCCTCTGGTCTTTTTGTCGGTTGGTCTCTGTGATAGATGGATAGATACTGTATTCATCCAAAGATATACTTCAGCAAACAAAGTAACAGAGTAAAAATATTAAGTATGAAAAATGCACAATATATACAATGAAATAGAATAGTGTTAAATTAACTAACTAGGTAAAAAACAGTAGTGCAAAAATCAACTAACAGCAGCAACAACAGTGTAGCGGTGTGTAGTCATGTGAAGGATGATCTGTTCAGAGGTGATTTATTATAAAGTGTTATAGCAGAGGGCAGGAATGTTCTCCTGTATCGGTCCTTGTGACAGCGGAGCTGGATCAGTCTGTCCCTGCAGTAGGTGGTGGAGAGGGTGGTCCGGGTTTTCAAATATGAATAATAATAAAACTCCATATTGGAGTGGTTCTGGTTCTGTCCTCAGCCGGTCTCTCTGTGGTTCTGGTTCTGTCCTCAGCCGGTCTCTCTGTCGGAGGCGAAGCTGCTGCTGAAGGAGGACGACTACCTGCTGAAGTCTGTGTACGATTACTGGGTGAGGAAGAGGAAGAACTGTGGAGCTCCGTCACTGATTCCTCACATCAAACAGGAGAGAAGAGATGGATCGACGAACAACGACGCCTACGTGGCCTTCAGACGCAGGACGGAGAAGATGCAGACCAGGAAGGTGAGTCCTTCTCTCGGTTCTCCATGTGGACTCTATTTAAACCTGCTGGATTCACAAACGCATGCTGTTTATTCATTAGGCCCGTCGTCGATTTTTCTACTTTAGGTTTTTGAATAAAATCATAAAAATGAATGTGTTGCAAAGACATTAATATCCTCTAAGAATGTTACAGATATTCTAACGGTACAGTTAAGTTCTACTGCAGCTGTCATACTTTAATAACGACGACTCAGAGTTTATGAACAGATGATGTGATGTCTTTCAGAACCGTAAGAACGATGAAGCGTCCTACGAGAAGATGCTGAGGCTGAGGAGAGAGTTCAGTCGGACCGTCACCATCCTGGAGATGATCAAGAGGAGAGAGAAGTCCAAGAGAGAGCTGCTGCACCTCACCCTGGAGGTGGTGGAGAGGAGGTGAGGAGAGGAGGAGACACTTCACCCTGGAGGTGGTGGAGAGTAGGGGAGGAGGAAGGGAGGGGGGGGGGATAATTCAGTTGGACTGGCACCATCCTGGAGATGATCAAGAGGAGAGAGAAGTCCAAGAGAGACCTGCTGCACCTCACTCTGGAGGTGGTGAGGAGGAGGCATCTCACCCTGGAGGTGGTGGAGACAACTGAATTTCATTTTTTTCTGAAGCTGTGGAGGTTTGAAGTCTGATGTTTTGTGTGTTCAGGTGTCAGATGGAAGATTTCAGTGGAGAAACTCTCAGAGAGGTTTCACTCCCTCTGGTGGAGAAACCAGTTTACAGCGTCCCAGTTACTCTAAACAACAACAGACACAGAACGGACATCAAGATCAAGGTACGGAGTCTCCTCCATAGTCTCCTTCACAGGTTACCTTCTGTTTACTGTATTTAACACATGAGTTAGTCTCCTTCATAGAACACAGGTTACCTTCTGTTGTTACATATTACTGTACTTATGAATCCAGTGTCTTGGCTCCCTCAGATCTCATGTTCAGAGTCTATGTTTCAGAAGAAGCTGGTGTCTGACGAGCTTCCCTTTGATCTGATCCGACCGAAAAAGAACATGAGACGGGACAGATTCTGTCCTCCACAGAGACGACCCTGTCGACCACCCGGTCCCTTCACCGTCAACAAGGCCAACATCAAACAGTACGACTTCCACAGCTCTGGAGAGGAAGACAGCCCTCCACCTCCACTGGTCAGGAACCACCATCACCATCTTCAACTTTTATTGTGAAATCATGTGTAGAAAGACATACTCTGTATAATATAGTAAAAACAATATTATAATATATTCTGTTCATGTCTCTTCAGTCTCCCCCGTCTTCACCTGATGAAGAAAATAATCCTGATGGAGTTTATGTGTTCAGGAGAAAAGCTGGATGTCAATATCTCTCTGTGAGTTTCTCCTCTTGTTTTACAATAGTGCTGCTAGTGCTGCTACTACTACTAGTGCTGCTACTACTACTAGTGTTGCTTCTACTAGTGCTGCTGCTGCTAGTGCTGCTGCTGCTAGTGCTGCTGCTGCTAGTGCTGCTGCTGCTAGTGCTGCTGCTACTAGTGCTGCTACTACTAGTGCTGCTACTACTACTAGTGCTGCTGCTATTACTAGTGCTGCTGCTGCTAGTGCTGCTACTACTAGTGCTGCTACTACTACTAGTGCTGCTAGTGCTAATGCTGCTAGTGTTGCTACTACTAGTGCTGCTAGTGCTGCTACTGCTAGTGCTGCTACTACTAGTGCTGCTGCTACTACTAGTGCTGCTACTACTAGTGCTGCTGCTACTAGTGCTGCTGCTACTACTAGTGCTGCTACTACTAGTGCTGCTGCTGCTAGTGTTGCTACTACTAGTGCTACTAGTGCTGCTGCTGCTAGTGCTGCTGCTGCTAGTGCTGCTACTGCTACTAGTGCTGCTACTGCTACTAGTTCTGCTACTACTAGTGCTGCTACTACTACTAGTGCTGCTACTACTACTAGTGCTGCTAGTGCTAATGCTGCTAGTGTTGCTACTACTAGTGCTGCTACTGCTAGTGCTGCTACTGCTCGTGCTGCTACTACTAGTGCTGCTGCTACTACTAGTGCTACTACTAGTGCTGCTGCTACTAGTGCTGCTGCTACTAGTGCTGCTGCTACTAGTGCTGCTGCTACTACTAGTGCTGCTACTACTAGTGCTGCTGCTGCTAGTGTTGCTACTACTAGTGTTGCTACTACTAGTGCTACTACTACTAGTGCTGCTGCTGCTAGTGCTGCTGCTGCTACTAGTGCTGCTACTACTAGTGCTGCTGCTACTAGTGCTACTACTGCTAGTGCTGCTACTACTAGTG